ACCTCGTCTATCCGAGGCAGACCAAAGGGGTCTTTTAGGGCAGTGTTTGTTAAGATTAGTGTAATCAACACACATTCTCCATTCTTTATTCTTTTTCTGAACGAGAATAGGGTTTGCTAACCACTCAGGATGATACACTTCTTTTATGAATCCGATAGCTATGAGCCATTTTATTTCTACCCTAATAGCCTCCTTTTTGTCTGGCGTGAATCGTCGGAGTTTTTGCTTGATCGGTTTGGCGGTCGACGAGACATTCAAGGAGTGCTCGATCTTCTCTCGTGGTACCCCCGACATGTCTGCAGGTTTTCAAGCAAACACGTCGGTGTTGGCACGTAGGAAGGAGACGAGCGCTTTTCCTATTTGGGGTCGAGGTGAGCCCCAATCTTCACGGTCTTAGAGGGATCGTCGAGGCCGAGACCGACCTCCTTGGTTTCTTTGGACTTGGCGGAGGCACGTGGAGACTCCAGCATAGGGATCTTCAGGTCATCGGCGGGCACCATCTTAGCGTCGGTGACCACATTGGCCATCTGGATGGAGAGATCGATGGCTTCGGCGAGAGCGAGACTCTCTGTCTCGCAGGCGTAGGCGATGGAGAGGTTGGCCCACAGGGCCAAAACTCCAATAGGCGAAGGCATCTTCAGCACCAGATAGGCACAGTGTGGTACAACCATAAACTTGGCCAGAGCTGGCCAACCAAGTATGGCGTGGTAGGCGGTGTTGAAGTCGGCGACGTAGAAGTTGATGTGCTCAACGCGGTAGTTGCTTGCCGTGCCAAACTATACTGGTAGGGTGATCTCTCCAAGCAGTTTGGATGCCCTACCAGGTACCACACCCCAAAAGGAGGAGTCAGAGGGTGTGATATCTCCTATCCCGAGCCCCAGCTCCTTTAGGGCTCCGACGAAGAGGAGGTTCAGAGCGCTACCACTGTCGACGAGCACTTTTCTAAAAAGTACTTTCTGGACGGTTGCATTGAAGACGAGGGGGAAATGCCCTGTGTAAGGAATATCCGCCCATAGATCGGCCCTGCTGAAGGTGATGGAGACCTCGGACCAGGGGGCGACAGTTGGCGAGCACCCGACGGGCGACGAGCTTCCGTTCTCTTCTGCTCTTGGTGGAGGTGAGGCCCTCGAAGATGGTGGCGACCACCTTGTCGTGATCCTGGAAGGTATTGTTATTGCCCCTAGGTGGTCGGTGGCCTCTGGCTCCATCGTTGTTGTCGTCGTCTGGCTTTTTGGCCTGGAACTCCTTAGCCAAACCGAGGCAGTCCTTCATCTTATGCTTGGCGTTCTTGTGGAGAGGGCACGGGCCGTCGAGGATCTTCTTGTACTGCTTGTCATAGTTGCGCTTGGCGCAAGGTTTGTCAACAGCGGCGACGATATGGTCTGGTCGGCGGCGGTGATATTGACCTGACTTGGATCCTTCTGGCCGATCAAGGCCACTGTCTTGATGGTGACAGCGGTTGTCGTAGCGGCGATCGCTGTGGCACCAGTCATCAGGGTGATCGTCGCTACGGCAAGTTGGGCGATGAGTGCTCGCGTCCTCATTGAAGCGTACTTCAGCTTCTTCGGCGTCGACGTACTGGTTGGCGGTCGTAATCATCTCGCCAATCCTCGTGGGTGGCTTGTGGTTGAACTTGGAGTGAAGGTCGTGGTGATGGTGTCCTCGAACGAAGGCGGTGATGACCTCATCTTCCGTGATGTTGGGAATAGAATTCCTCATCTCAAAAAAGCGTTTGATGTAGCTACGGAGGAGCTCGGATGGCTTCTGGTAGATGCAGTTCAGATCATGCTTGGTGCTCGGCCGAGTACACATAGCCATGTAGTTGTCGATGAAGACCTTCTTCAGCTCTTCCCAGGATCCGATGGAGTCCGGGGCGAGGCTTGTGAACCAGTTTATCACGGTTGGTGTGAGCATAATAGGAAGATAGTTCGCCATGACGCTGGTATCTCCCTCGGTGGCGCGCACAGTAGTGGCATAGGCTTGTAGCCACTGTGTGGGGTTCATCCGTCCTTCATAGGGCTCGACCCCAGTGATTTTAAAAACCACGGGGGCACTGGAGTGTTCGGAGAGCCCTCGTGAATGCTGGGGGCCCTTCGAGATTGTCGATGCCATGATCTACGGTGTTGACAACGTTGAGCGGCTCAAGAGCTGAGTTCGGGTTACCGAACTCTTGCTTGTATTCTTGATGACGCCGTACTTCTTCTTTATGGTGACCGAAGTGGCGCTCATCGATACGTCGTTGTGCGTCTCGGAGATTGTTGAGGTGCGCTCGGATGTCTTGGTCGACCTTCTGGTCGTGTTGGCGAGGGTGTTTGATGCAGTTGCCCCTAGCTCCCCCCTAGAGGGGTTGTCCATTGTCGTGGTGCTGGTCGGCGAAACGACTTTGGCTGGGGTGGCGATTGGATCTTGGCGCAGTTGATCTACGAATCGAGCTCGTAGAGTATGAAGGTCTCTGATCCTGGCGGATGTTGTTGACCTAGTAGTTCGCCGCTTTAAGCCTGGCGGTAACCCTGGCGACCTCCGGTGTCTGCGGGAGCCGGGCGAGCTCGTTGGCGGCCACGGCCAAATTGGCGCTTGGGGTCTTGTAGATGTCGTGGCCATCAACATGGACGAATTCATCGTCGAGGTTGTGCCAGAGTTGGTGTGGCCTTCCTTGTGAGTCAAGCTGAGCCTCGGTTAGCTCGAGGGCAGCCTCGTTTGCTCGACGCTGAGCACGGTTGACGTTCCTGTTGACACGGGCGGCACGGTCCTCCTCGGTTTCCCCTTCCTACGGGGGGCTGTCAACGCTGACGTTGAAGATTGCGCCTCCACGAAAGGGAGGGAAGGGAGGTTGCTCGGCGATGGTTTCGGTGATAGTCTCCATAGAGCCCTAGGACTCGGAGTCCGGATTCTCCTCCAAGATGGTTTGGAGGGACGCTTCGGGCATCGGTCAATGTGTAGCATGTTGACAGACGATGGGAGTTGATAGACGATCTAGTCGGTGAGAGGATGGACATCTACAACCTGGTCGGTGAATTTGCCCCGTAGGGCATCTTGGTAAGTGGCGGCGACGTTGGTGAGCCCAAAGGGTAGGGCCATAACCCTTGAAGTTTCCTCCGATAGATCTGAACCAAAGGGTGGTCGGCGCTGAACTAGAGTGGTCAGAGTCGATTCTGCGATAGAGAGGCAATCGACGAGCTTTTGGCCGACCTGATTGATGGATGCGATCAGATCGTCGTTGTTGATTTGCCTCCTCTGGTAGCGGGGGAGCGAGCGACAAGTTATCGACGAAGACGACCTCAGAGGTGGTTTCGAGATCGGATCTACAGTCACATGTGTTGGGGTGATCGGCGCAGTATTGATCTGCACCGGCTCGATGAGCTCTCCAACTCCGTCAGCGTTGATGATCCATGAGATTGATCCAACCGTGAAGATCTGGTCGGGCTGTGGGAGGGACGAAGAGCTTGCAGAACGTACCATCTTATTCAACATGGAAACAGCACGCACACTCCTACCTGGCGCGCCAACTATCGACAGAATATCATCGGCAGTCCTCTGAGAGGTATCCCACGAAGGTAGATTGATCGACAGAGATGCGTGTAATCGAGAACAAGAAGGCAATAGAGACACATGAGTTAGACAGGTTCAGGCCGTCAGTATGACGTAATACCCTACTCCTATGGTTTGTTGGATTGTATTGGCTATCGTATGATATTACGTGAGTTTGGAGGGGGTCCCTGCCCGCCTTATATTGTCCAGGGGGCAGGGTTATAAGTCGGTTAGATCTAGGAGATAATCAAAAAGTAATAACAGATTACAAGAATCATGGGATCATACGTATCCTAACAGATCTCGTAATATCTCCAAGATATCTTCCCAATGTCTTGCGGGAGGCGCCGAGCAGCGTCATGTCCCGCAAGGCTTCGTCTTGTGGGCTGGGCTGCCCCTGGGGGCGCAGCCCATGTGGTCTGCCGTGGGTATCCAAGGTCGTACCCCCCACAGCTTGATTAGGTTGGCAAGCATACCCCAGTGTGTACTCTGCTCATTTAGATCAATATTGGTGTCTTGTCGGCTATAACTTGAAATAACTTTAAAAACAATTAGTTGTCTCGTGCACGTTGTTCTTGTTAAGTATAGTATGCCCTATTTGTGCGCACGACATATATTTTGTTAGGTTGGTGTATATATAGCATAACATAACTTGTCCCTCTCCTCGTGTTTGGTATATGAAATAGTCTCTAGTGCCCTCTTATATTTTTTAGCGCTTTGCGTTGATGTTATAATATATGGTTATTAGCTAAACTTGACTTTGGTGGGGACCCTTTGCTCCTTAAAAATTGCTACACTAACCCAAATAACAAGGTCGTGAAATATGGGGGAAAAAACTTTAGAGTTCATGGCTAGGAAAGTTGCTATGCCACTTGTGTGCCTTTGTGTTAGTGAGTAGTAGATTAGAGGAAAAAAAAAACAGCGGGAATTCGGAACGAGTTTCCATGATGTTGAGTCATGGCACTCTAATTACTTAGATATAGTTTGCTTATGTAGTTTTTTTACTGCCGAGCAACTACAAAGCGACTTTTCTAAGAGTTGTTTTTATATTTAAAGTATTTTAAGTCAGTATTGAAGTTATTGTAGTAAGTTACGGACCATAACAAGTTTATATGTAATTTGTTGCTGTTAAGGGTAATAGCAATTTTTTCATTAAAAAAACTGGTAATAATTACATAGACGTTGTAGACCAGTCAAAATTGCACATATTTGAAGTAGACATTAATAGGAGTATTTTTTGAAATGAAAAGGATACATACAATTGTCGATGAGAGGGAGGGGTCAGTGCGGCCTGCAAATGACGGAGCGGTCCCACATGTCGGCGCGATTTACCGTGGAGGGCGACGGACCATCGGACTGGGAAGCAGAGCAGTACAAACTCGGTCCCAACCTTCTTCCCCTCTCGCAGCTTCTGAAGTCTGAACAGATCTCCTCACCGTCTCCTCGTCCGCAGCTTCCCGGCGATCCCGGCCATGGTGAGCCCCCCGCCGGCCTCCTCCCCCACCTTGCTCTCCATCCACATCTCGTCCGTCCGCGCTCCACGCCGCTTCTCAGTGTCCGGCGCAGGCCGCGCCCTCCCCGCCTAGGGTTTCGATCCCGCGCCGATTCATCTGCTACCTGGCGGTCTGACTCTGCTCTTGCTGGATGAGTGCAGGAGGGCGACAGTGCCAACACCAACCTCGATGCGGCGATAGAGTCGCTCCTGAACGTCGAGAAGCAGATGAGGCTGGCCGGCGATGTCGCCGGCACGCGGAAGGCCGTCATCGACATCGTCGAGCTCTGCTACAAGGCCGGCGCGTGGAAGACGCTCAACGACCAAATCGTTCTCCTCTCCAAGAGGAGAGGCCAGCTTAAGCAGGTTCGGGTCTCGAGTATTCACCGCCTTGCTCTTACATCTTCGATTGGTTTCTGTAATTAGTATATGTGTATGAGACCCTTTGGAGGTGCTTTAGTAATCAGTTTGCTTGTACGAAGGCAGAGCGGCCTTTAGGCTTCAAATTTTCGCCGCATAACGTGCTACTGAAGTATTTTACTACTGTAACTTTGTTGTACTTTTGGTGTTGGTTCGAGGTATTGACCCAAAAACATCTGTTGAACTCTTGTCTGAAAGAAGCTGTACTTGAGAAAGCTTTCTGAATCGAAGTTGCCTGTTTAAACTAATATAGTGGTTGGCGGAAGTATGGTTTATCCATCCAATAAAGATTTCATGCAGTTGTAATTATTAAGAAAGCTAGAAATACATGATATCTTACTTTTATACATTCTTTCTGCTTGCAGCGGCCATTGATTTTCAGAACATTTTGCGTTTTTGTTTTTTGATGATTTAGTTCTACTTAACAATGCTGACTGGTTTTCCTTTAAATGCAACGCCACTCACCATTCTTCCGCGTTGACTATGAAGCATGCGCATGATGTGCTTACTATTTTTTGCTTTACATTTCTTAGATTGCACTATGTGTGCAATCTGAATGCTCTCATCCATGGCCATAGTGATGTCTAGATGTATGCTAATGCAATTCTCTTGAACTGTTATCCATTTGGTTGTTCGTTAGGGTACTTATTTTCTTAGCATCAGCGAATGATTGCACTTCTGGAGTTTGCATTGTTCCTATCCATTGTTGAACAACCACAATGTGAAATCTTTATCTGCAACATTTTGCTTTGACCTTTAGTTGCTTGGACATACAGTTGCCAGTTCTTGAGTCTTATTCACAATCATCTTGAGCAATGTTTTGCCCATGACCAGAACACTTTAGATCAATCTATTAAGTATAATATAAGTAGTTCTTTATTACTTGCTTTCAAATGGGAGCCTATGCTGTACCAAAGCATTACTCTAACCATTTATCTTGTTTTTGCAGATTCATAAGTCATCTTTGTCTATTTGTTTACCTATAAATTGATAAGCATATAGAAAGGAACGCTAACCATGTATGTCACTTGCTACTGTTTTGTTTACTATACACTTATATTACTGTCACTTCTGTTTATCGCAGGCCATAACTGCTATGGTTCAGAAAGCAATGGACTACATTGATTTGACACTAGACATTGACACACGCATCGAGCTAATCAAAACACTGAGCAGCGTTTCTGCTGGCAAAGTGAGAATCTTCCATCTTGATGATTTATTATTCCTTTTAAGATTCATTGTTTTTATGTGTGTAATCTGACAGTTGTTCATCTGCAGATTTATGTTGAGATAGAGAGAGCAAGATTGATCAAAAGACTTGCTAAAATCAAAGAGGAGCAGGGACAGATTGACGAGGCTGCTGATTTGATGCAAGAAGTTGCTGTAAGTTTGCACTGCACTAGAATTGAGGACATGTACTTCCATATTATGTGACAATGTTTCTGTCATTCTTTAGTACTGTTTGTCAGTTCTGACCATCCATGACTGTTACTAACAAGTTGTTTATCAGGTCGAAACATTTGGTTCCATGGCCAAGACAGAAAAAATTGCTTTTATTCTTGACCAGGTATTATGGCAATCTATTATGTTAAATACTTTGTATTCTTACTAAAATGCTGATTCTTGCAAAACTTTCTATTATTGTTGTCACAGGTCCGGCTATGCCTAGATCGGCAAGATTATGTCAGAGCACAAATTTTATCAAGGAAAATTAGTACTAGAGTATTCGAAGCAGATCCATTGAAGGAAAAAAAGAAACAAAAGGAAGGGGACAATATTGTTCAGGATGCTCCTGCAGACATTCCATCCCTACTAGAATTGAAGCGCATCTACTATGAACTGATGATTCGGTATGTGATGCTTCTCAATCTTTAATGCACTACTGGCGTGCTATTTGATTGTCATTGTCGTTATTGGCTCGTCTACCTGACTACCTCTGGAACCCCAAATTTCTTTTTTCTATTTAACGCTATGGTTCATAATTACATTTCATATTGGAGCCAATCATAATTCTTCGTTGTCTCTTCACAGATATTACATGCACAACAATGATTACCTGGAAATCTGCCGTTGCTACAAGGCGATTTATGATATTCCAGCGATAAAAGAGGATCCAACAAAGTGGATACCCGGTACTCTCTCAACATGTGTATACATGACACCCATCCACCAACCCCTCAATTATCTGACTACCTTAATTCCTTTGCAGATTCTTAGGAAGATCTGTTGGTACTTGGTGCTAGCACCTCATGATCCTATGCAATCGAGCCTTCTCAATGCTACACTTGAGGATAAGAACCTTACAGAAATCCCAAATTTTAGGTACATTTGTATGTTTGCAAAATTTATCTCATAACTCCAGGCAGGCTTATCTCAATAATCACTTATTTTTTCCCTGTTGTGATGTGATGGGAAAAAAGATTATTGCTAAAGCAGCTGGTTACCATGGAGGTCATCCAGTGGACAACGTTGTGGGAGTTCGCCAAGCACGAATACGAGAACGAGAAGAATCTTCTCGGAGGAGCTTTGGGTGCCAAAGCTGCAGAAGATTTGAAGCTGAGGATTATCGAACATGTATTGCTTACTTTGTCTTTGGCCTATATTGTAGTTATTTTGCTTTATATGCTTGTCCACTGAATCTGACTTTTGCTCTGTTCAGAATATCTTGGTGGTGTCGAAATATTATTCTAGGATTACCCTCAAGAGGCTTGCGGACCTTCTCTGCCTGAGTTTGCAGGTTTGTATTTTTCACCTTTGCATGATATTGTATCTTCTTTGTGATGCCAACTGTGGCATCCTTTGTTTAAACACAGTACATGACAATCACCTGAATTGTGAAGCATTTTATTTTATAGCTTCAGTTAGAGTACAGCTGAGATATCTATCTAGAACTACACATTACTCTTTTCAGGAGGCAGAGAAGCATCTTTCAGATATGGTGAACTCAAAATCTCTGATTGCGAAGATTGACAGGCCGATGGGAGTCGTTAGTTTCCAGACAGCCCAAGACTGCAATGGCACACTCAACTCATGGGCCACAAACCTCGAGAAACTTCTCGACCTTGTCGAGAAGAGTTGCCACCAGATACATAAGGAGACCATGATCCACAAGGCGGTGTTAAAAGCTTGACTGTTTGGCACTGCCTGTTTTGGTTTAGGTTCCCTTCATAGCCTGCCGTGGTGTTAAGATACTGTAACAGCAGGACTCTGAATTGAGATTATTTAAGATGAACCGGTGCTGTCAAGTGAAAGATTATTTAAAATGAACCACTGTTCTGTGTTAAATGAATTACTAACATGGACACAATAATTCTCTGTATGTCAAGACCCCAATTCTGGATTCGTGTCCTGATTATGTTGGTTGGCACTTGTTACGGGCCACTGGGCCCTCAGCTCGCACTTCATATCTCTTCATATCTGTTACAAACTAACAATGTTTTGCTATCGTTGTTGGACGGCGCCGCTCTGGTGAGTGGTGACCAGTGTCGCAGTTTAAGTGAACTGCGACTAGAATTTCAGTCGCCCTGTTTGCTTATCGGCCATGATACATGGTTTTTCTCTTAAACAGACGGCTTAGAAACCATCATCCGAATAGCTCTACAGTGTTACACGGATGCAGACCATGGAAGTTTCCAAGGTGAGGCCAACAGAAAGAGGTACATACGAGAGACCAAAATTTTTAGTCCACTGGCATGGAAGACGGCTAGAAAAAGGGCACAACAGTGCCACCTCCCCCACCAGCCTCGTCCCTACGCTGAGTCTGAATAAACCTGTCACTCCTGACACTTTTTTTTTGGAAACCTAAGAAATCAGTCAAGCTTTTTTTATTACTTTTATAAAAATCCAAACCATTGCCTCTATAAAAAATACCGCATGACACTGGTCAAATTACATTACAGGTCACAATAACCACTTGCTGCAGCCTGCATATAGAAGAACGAAAATGTGCCACGACGAAGCAGCAAGCCTCCAACACAGGGCCTTTCAGTCTGACACGGCTGCTTCCTTCCTATCTTAATTCATACGGCTGCATATAGAATTTCAGTCGCCGTATAGCCAACTCAAGTTTTAAAAAAAGGGCATACCCAGAGAGCTCCCGCTTTGTGCGGGGTTTGGGGAAGGATGTCAGTGGCAAGCCTTACCCTCGCCTATGCAATGCGAGGAGACTACGACTCGTAGCCAACTCAAGTTTGGTATAATTTATATGAAGGGGTGATTGAAGGAATATAAACGTGAGCACCAAACAATACTGATGCAATTCTTTCTTTACGAAATTGTAAGCGATCTAATATCAATTCTGCCTGTCGTAACGGCAAGTGCAACAGTTTGCTGCCTCAATTGATTGCAGTGGTAGTCGGAGCTGAAAACGGAGCAATCTGGTAGCATATCATCTGGGTTATTAAAGCTGGATGGTTATTGCAGAAAAATGTATTCCAGTCGAAGTGCACTGAACATTTGGACATGAATTGTCTACAACTTAGCATCTCCAGCTTAACATGCCTGAATTGTACAGCAAATGCTATAACATTTTGATTAACTGTATGCTGTGTGCTCCTGGTTCAATTTTTTTCTATGAACATATTGCTTTCTCTAGAGTTTCCTGCAGTTCTCCACTCTTGTATGCCTCTGCAAAATGGACCGCAAAGTTAGCATTAGCCATTAACATTGGTTCGAACGTTGAGATAAAATATATACTTGAGTTGTGGAAACAGAAATGAAAATATCGTGTGTATGGAATTCAGTTGCTGAGTACATGAAAAGTTAATGTACATGTATGAATACAGCCATCTGCAGGTGTATGTGCAGTGTTTTTCTACTTCAATGCAAATAATGCCTTAGCAGTTTGCGCCATATATTTGTGCTATTCTGTGTTCTCCTGGCCAAGTTTTTTTTTTTTCTCTTGAACATGCAGGAGATTTGCATATCTTTGTATTAAAGATAGAGAAATAACGGTCCCATACAACACAACCCTCTTATGTCCCCTTATCTCACTAGAGAATAACGGGTTCCCTCAAAAGACTAGGAAAAAAACACCTGAAACAAAAAACCAAGGAACGACCCTAGCCAGGACTAATCAGGTTAGTTGTAGCCCCTGACCCAAAGTACATAAACATAAAAAAAACCCCCACTGATTTCGATGTCCTGTAGAGATCCCCAAAACCTAAGATTGATTGCCCTTCCTCACTATTTTTTCTAAAGCATTCAGTCTTGTACATTGGCTATCTATTTTCCAAAACCATCACATACTGGGGTGGAGTAAACCTACAGCATCAACCCTATAATCTAACTAAGCTTAGAGGACACTATACCTATGCAATTATCTAGGAATGTCCATAAGCTGCAAAGTCAGCAGTCCTAGTTTCAAAAGGTAGATCAGATACTGTTAAGATGTCTCAAAAAGCAGATACTGGTGGCATAGCAAACAATGATGCATGGTGAAGGAATGTGATTTGCTCTTAAGAGTCACTGAATCAATAAAGTTGAGCATGTCTGATTTACTCATACAGATGGGAAGAAATTATCAATGGTTGGCCATCAATTTGAGTTATGGAATGATAATTGTTGTTCCTTCTTGACCAAAAAAATGACGACAAGAACAGTCCCTGATTATCACTAAAAGATCATACTGTTGTTATATTTCATGGTTGATATAGAAATTAGGCGTTAGATGTAGAGACCATCATAATGTTGCTTTTGTCCTAGACTAGATGATTGCCCGTGCGTTGCAACGGGAGCGACAAAAAAATTATATGAGGAGTTCGGAGGTGTTTGAGAATCCTTTGTCAAGCCAAAATTAAGATATGGAGAGATTATGTCTATGTGTTGTGAGATGTCCTCGGTGCATTGTTTTCACAGAAAAATCTGTTAGAAGCATACTTTTTCATATGCCTGTTTATCCTAAGGGTGACATTGGTTGCTTCGATGTGGCAGCTTGTGCTGAAAGTTGTAGCCTTTAACTAACATGATGAAGCCTCAGTAAAAAAAAGATATATAGTCACCTTTCTAAGTTTCTATAACAATCCACCTACGGTTTGAAAACTAAAAAGGCATAAACATAACCGTTCAAATATAATCCATTGAAAACTGAAAAAGTAAAAACATAGCTGTTCAAAAATATATTCCATTGAAAACTGAGCACAGAGCACATAACTTCATCAAATATATAACCATACTGAGCAATGTCTAACTAAGCTGATTTCAAATATAACCATACTGATTCATTAGCCAAGAAGCAGGAGAGGGCCAGCGGCTACAAGAGCACACTAAGGATCGAGATTCTAAATAACCAGAGCATGATGAATGGATTGGAGCATCAAGAGTTTTCTTGAAAATGTAATTGTCTGAAATTTGGTCTTAAATCTGCATTCCATTCTTAGGTAATTTTTGAAAGCACACAGAACTGCAGGCGCAGATCCAGTAAAGGACATGGGTGTGCGCATGTACGCATAATGATTTTTGAAAGGGGTCGAAGTTAGCAGGCATAATACATATACACAAATGTAATTAGATCAAATCCGAATACAAACAACCAATTAGCTTAAGTTAGGGTTGGATTTTCGGTTTCGCACAGCAGGAAGAGGTTGGCACACCTGGTGTGCTGCTGCTCGACGGGATGCGGCTGCTCCTCGCCGTCCGCCCCTGGAGCTCCCGCCGAGCGGGCAGAGGCCCGAGGCTGAGCGGGACCTAGGGTTCCGGCCGAGGCCCGAGGCTTCGCTGGGAGGCGGGCCACAGTCAGCGTCGCCGCGTCGGCCTTCGGTGGGCGGCACGGTCGGCTGACGGAGGGGCGCCTGGCGGCGGCGTCGGCGTTCGGCGGTGGTGGTGTTGGCGGCGCTCGGTGGCGGCATGTTCGTTGGCCGGAAGGAGGCGCCCGGGCGGCGGCGTGAAGCGCTGGGGCGTTGGCGTTGGCGGCGAAGTCGGCGAGGCAGGGGTAGCGCTTTTTTTTCTTTTTTTTTCGGGAACGGACAAGGGAGCGGGTACGTTGGTGGGTCGGGGAGGCAAGGGAGTGGGAGGCAGAATGATAGGGGCGTGAACGAGACAGTTTGGTCTTTTTAGGAGTAGAGATTGGTCTTGTTAGTTGCCATTGGCACTGAGCAAGTGAGAAATAAGGTATTTCTTGAATGTGATGAACCCAACTGTTTTATTTCTATGAGGCAATGTCCACCTCTTGCAACCACGATAAACAACAGGGATGGATCTATAGACAAAGTAAAATTGGAATATACAAACGAGAATGAAATAAGGATTGAGCATATGGCATTGATTCAAATGGAAAACACTAGGTATTTGTCTGGCATTTAGAAGACGCTTTTGCTGTTTGCAAAGACACTGATCACTAAGAAAGAGAAGGAAGGATCTGTGTCAATGGCCAGCAAATATTTAGAAGATGCTTTTGCTATTTAGGGCATGCACAATGCAAACTGCAAAGCTCTTACATGGACGCTGAACAAAAGAGAATAAATGACATGTCATCAAGAGTTGTGTAAAAGTCCCAATTTCCAATGGAAGCAACAGTTTTATAGGCGCTTAAATAGTGTAAGAGTCAACACTTCCAAAGGAAACAACATTTTTTTAGACGCTTAAATAGTTCCATAAAATTAAGAGTTCACTTAAGCATCTCCGACACCAAAATGCCTAGCGTTTATTCATTTATTTTCTCTTGTCTCTTCCACAAATACACTATCTAATCTAGCTGTAGCCTTAGCTCTCCCCCGCTTTTGTCCACCATGGCAGGATTAGGATTATGCAGTAACCGCTGAGAAGCGGCCAGGCCACATATTAGCGTTTTCATGGCCTTCGGAGACACCTCTAGGCCTACAATTGAAGATTACCAAGTGAATAGCCATTTGGGAGAGAATATGCCTGGAGTATGCCTCAGAGGCATGAAGCTTGCCACTAATCATTTGGGAAATCAACCATCTTGGTGAGCAACACCATAAATGTCCGATTAGTGCCTTTGCTATGTGCAAAGATTGGAATTAAGAAAGAGAAGGATTTGTTTTTTTTTTTTGAAACATTAGAGAAGGATTTGTGCGAGTGACTTCCTCTACACCCAGGGGCAGAGCCAAGACTGTCTGAAAGAGGGTGCTTTATACTTATATTCTAATTAGATCAGTCCTAAAATGTTTGAAT